CTAATCTACAATCAGTAATATAACTTAAAAGTGATCTCAAACCGCTTGAACATTGAAATCTTTAAAAATGTAACTTTTTTTTTTACAAAAAGCAAGCAGACTGGTTGTGGGCTCATTAAACTCCTAATGCTAAGAGCTTCTAATGTTCTCTAGGAACGTGAAGAAACCTCACTGATTTCCTGGTTCTGAACAAAACTGCCTGTTCAGAGCTTAAGTCACAAGATGACTTCCCTGCGGTGGGAGAAAGACAAGTCCTACCTTTATTGAGTTTTCTGCAATTCACAGAAAACACACATAACGGTTGTCATTTCTATTTGTGAATCACACATGTGTGTTTGCACCCAGCAAACACAGAAGTGTCACAGAGCCAGAGGTTGCTATGCTCTTCTGACTCAAGGATTCCTAGGGTCCCTTCTAGCAATGCAGTTCCAAAATAAAGGAAAGAAAATCTTTCTCGACCCAGCGGGTTGTTAAGTCTGTGGAACCCCTTGCCACAGGATGGGGTGATTGCCATTTGGCCGAGATGCCTTGAAAAGGGGATCGGACAGATTTCTGGAGGAAATGTCCATCGCAGGTGAAAAGCCATGATGGGGATGTATAATCTCCAGGCTTCGAAGGAAGGGACCTCCAAATGCCAGAGGCAGGGGAGGGGTATCAGGATCTAGTTGTCTCTTGTGTGCTCCCAGAGGCGTCTCGTGGGGGCCATGGTGAGATACACAAAGCTGGACTGGAGGGGCCCTTGGCCTGATCCAGCAGGGCTCTTCTTAGGTTCTTATGTTCCTACATATAGCAGTCTGTGTCAGCTAGCAGAAATAAAACTACAGGGCAATTGTTCTTGATCCCGGTTGTTAAGGGTTTTAAGCTGTTGACCCTTCAAATCAATAGGATGTGTTGATTAATCAAAATGATGCAAAGATTATTCCAAATCCACGGAGTATAGCAGCAAGTGTGTTGTTTGCCGCATTCAGACAATTTGCACCGCTTATACAATTTGTGCAAAAATTGTTCTCAGAAATGCAAACCAAAAAAAAAAATAAAAAATCATGGTAGGAAACATCTTGCACAGTCAAAGGTCAGGGGAGAGGAAAGAAAGTGTTCTCTCACTATCATGTTCCTGCCCGGCATACGGGTCCCAATGGTGTGAGACAGAGACATCTACGGGAGATCCAACGGCTAGTCCCAGTCACTTAAGTAAATCGGATTGATTTAGTAGGACGGCTTAGCGTGGACCAACTCCTGGATTTAGGCCGGGTGGTGGTGGTGTGCCCCACAATTTTAATGTCTAGGGAAGTATATGCAGCCATGCCAACAGCTTGATATTGCTTCTTTTTTGAGGTGATGTGTCCACATTAGGGATCTTGATGCTAGAGAAGTGGCCGTTTTCTTCTCCTGGCCTCTTAAGCATTTGTAGGGATGTTTTTTTAAAATAAATAAAACAAAACAAGATAAAGGTAAAGGTTCCCCTTGACAATTTTTGTCCAGTCGTGCTCGACTCTAGGGGGCGGTGCTCATCCCCGTTTCCAAGCCATAGAGCCAGCATTTGTCCGAAGACAATCTTCCGTGGTCACATGGCCAGTGCGACTTAGACACGGAACGCTGTTACCTTCCCACCGACGTGGTCCCTATTTATCTACTTGCATTTGCATGCTTTCGAACCGCTAGGTTCGAGAACAAAACAAACAAAGGCACAAAATGAACACAACTGTTAGCTTGTTCGATGGACTTCTAAAACTCATAAGCCTTGAAGGTCCCGTTTGTGTCTTTTTGAGCCGCCACCGCCCCCCCCCCTTGGGTTCTTGCTCTCTGCAAGAGACCTGTGCCATTTGCTCCACAAAGGGAAAAGACACGGATTGTGCCCAGATAAGTTTTGTGCAAGACACAGAAACATTTTTGCACCAATTTCAGAAGGTCCAATGGCTTATTCTTCCACGCTCGGCCCAGAGTGAAGGAATCGCGCAGGGCTTGAACGTCCCCTGATGAGATTTCTTCTTGGGTCAAAGTCCACCTAATCTCCGAGAGCAGAGAAAGTTGTAAATATCAACACCTTCCTAGGCGACATCATTTCCCCCCCCACCTCAATCGTGATGCTGCTGACCCCGGGACCCACCTAAAGCTAATGCTGTTTGAGCAAATTAGATTGTGGGCCGGTGTGTGTGTGTGTGTTTTCAATGCAAGGCAAGGATTTCTGGGTCTCTCCATCAGCTCTCTGGTCGCCTGGCAGGCTAAGCTTGCTCGCCGGCTGAAGACTCTGCAGAAGAAACAGAGAGATTGGTGTGGGTGCGGAGGTGACCCATCCAATCTCATTGAATCTCTCTGGGTGGGTGACCTATTTTCCAGGACTGACGGCCACATGGAAAGCGTGGGTGGCCTGCCTCTCTCTCTCTCTCTCTCTCTCTTCATACATGGATGCCAAAGAAAAGATTTTTAACAATGCCTTCTTCAGCCAAGCCCTCCCTTCTCTCGGCTGCCACCCTGCATCTACGGGGAAAACAACAGGTGGCAAGCCATTTCCTCCTCCATTTTTTGGCAACCCATCTGTCTCTAGGCAGGGTGGGGGCCTTTCTGGCTGCTTTGTCATGGTTTCGGGGAGGGCATCCCCCCAGGCTCTAGGGGGGGGGAGTCTGACCCCAAGAAGACCTTAGGGAAGGGACAGGATGAGGCTCAATTTGGAAGCACGATCCTCCGAGCATTACGAGCCGGCCAAATTAATTTACTCATGGGGTGGTTTCCCATATTCAGGGGCGACCCCCCCACCCTTGACTATGTCGTGGAGAGCCGAGCGTCTCTTCCGAGCAAGGCAAGAAACCACGTGCCCTCTTCCGCTAAGGGGGAACATCTGCTCCCTTCCACCCCTTTCCCCCCCCCCGTTCCTCCCAACGGGTTCAGCCGGTTGGCCTTGGGCGTTTTCCAGGAGGACAGACTCCCTCTCACAGCTGACTGCTCGGCAATTAATCTCCCCCCCTCCCCCTTCCTGTAATTTCAGTCTTCCGGTTCATTTTAATCTGCAGTATGTTGCAATGATTCATTTATGCTTCATCTCTAATTACATGCTGAGTTCTTTTCCCCTCCCTCCCTCGTAGTCTTAGGAACAGCTCTTCTTTTGAACAGATGTTAACAGATGTTTTGGATTACAGATGCCTTCATCCCGAACCACTGGCCTTGATGCTTCAACTCCTAGGGAATTTTAGTCCTGATCCTCTGGGGGTGGGGTGGGGGGAGATTAAGGGAATGTTGCGTCAAGCTATCCTCCTGTGGGCACTTCCTTAGGAGCAAGCACCCCTAAATTCATTGGGACGTAATTTTTGAGTATGCCGAGATCAATGCACCAGAATGCTCCAACCGGTTTGTGGTTACAAGAGATTAAGAGAACAACGTCACTGAAATTCTCCCAGAGCAGCGTGTCTCATTGGTGGCAGCGGGAGGGGGGGGCTGCTTAGCCGTGGCAAAAGCCACACTCTCGTATTGCCTAAGTTTTTTTTTTATTTTAATGTTAGGGTTCACAACATGACCTTGCCATCATTTTGCACAATGCCCTAGAGACCCTTGATTCTGATAAAATGGAGGAAAACGAAGGATACTACCTCTCGCACACACACGTACACAGAGACAATGACACCCCGTATCACCGGTGACCCGTCTCTTGCAGCAGATGGACCCAACATTCCAAATCTTTGCAAAATAGCGGAGATGTTTTTTGATTAGCTTTTGATTTGTTACATCTCAGTTCCAGCTTTCCCCCAGTAAGTGTTCATTTCATCTCTCTTATCTTTTCCCCCCTAATTAGTGCACACAGTGTTTCTTCTCTGTTCCCCAAGAGGACTAAGATAAAGTAGGCAGTTTGGAGTTTCCACAAAGTGGCATTCACTGTTTCCTTACACGAGGGGGACACCCTTGTCGCTTTAAACAGAACGGCCCCTTCTTGTGCTTCAACAGGTCAGAGGTCACACAGGCACTCCCGTAGGTGGAACGTTGCACGTGGCCTGATCCTACAAGTACACTGAACCTCATCTGTCAAAGGCAGGGGTTTCCCCACCTTGGGTCACTGGAATGTTCTCGAACTGCAACTCCCAGAAAAAAACGGACTCGCACAGCTAGTGTTGAAAGTTTCTGGGAGTTGCAGTCCAAGAGCTTTAAGGTGGCCCAAGGGGGAGGGGAACCACTGGTCTCAGGTCCCCCTAGTACGTTTCCTGGCCTAGTGAAGATAGGAATATGGCTCTCCTGAGTGAGTTGCAGGCTAGCTGTCTAACCGGTACACCAGACTGCTTCTCCTGGTTTGATACATTCTGATGCTTCCGCTTTGGACATGTAGGGCTGCAGACCTAATTGACGAGACGACCGCCCTAATCAGTGGAACGTTTAACTATAAGGCTGCAGCCCTGATGGATGGAACTTCTCATGAGCTGGTCAAGGTGGATGTATTGCAGCTCCCGAAATACATTCACCTCATGTTTCTGTGACCTGGCTTTTGACCTGCTCCGAGCATTATTTTATAGTGGGAGGCCACAAGCAGTCTTGCCAAGGAGATAATCCATAATCTTCCATATGAACCTACCCGGCAGTTAAGATCTAGCCAGGGGGCCCTTTTGAAAGAGCCGTCCCTCCAGGAGGTAAGAGGGATGGCTTGTAGACAAAGGGCCTTTTCGGCAGCTGCCCCCAGACTATGGAATGCCCTCCCGACTGAGATTCGTCTGGCGCCGACGCTGATGACATTTCGGCTGATGACATTAAAAGCCTTCTGTTCCAGAAGGCTTTTAATTGAAATAATATTAGCTGTGGGTCCGATGGCAATTTTTATATATTTTAATTGTATTTTAATTGTTCTGAATTTGTATTGTATTTTAAATGTTGTAAGCCACCCAGAGACCTTTGGGTAGTGAGGGTGGCATATAAATCAAATCTATCAAATCAATCAAATCAATTAAATCAATCAATCAATTAATCAATCAATCAATCAATCAATCTTTTCTGCCTTTCTCTGGTCTCTCTTCCTCTTCATAAAGGTTTGAATGAAATCCAGTGTACCGTTCCTGTGGAGGACATCACCGTCTTTCTCAGCGACTTGACGGAGGCCAGTTTTCGGGACTGCAAATTTACCTTGTCCCTCACGGACCTTATCATCATCATCTTCTCTGGAGTTGCCGTCTCCATTGCCGCCATTGTCTCAAGCTTCGTCTTGGCGCTGATTGTGAACTGCTTCCAAAGATGTGCCCCCAGCAAAGATGACGACGAGGATGATGACGATGAAGACTGAATACCCAGCTCCCCAGCTAGTGTCCCAAAGACAGAGGCAAAAACAGAGCGACACTTTAAAAAGTCCGTCAATCCCAACCAATCAAGGGCTCAAATAGTCTTGATGGAATTTCCCAACTTATTCATGGAAATTTCAACAAGATTTATAGGGAAGGGGGAGGAAACAACTTTTCCTGGTTAGATCGCTTGATTTAGTCAAATATATTTATTCATTGCTTCAAATCATGGATAAAAATAACACAGGAGACAAGGTGGGAAAGCTGCCATAAGAAAACAGAAACAATGAGGGATCTGAGATCCACTCTGCACTCTCAATCCGTAGCTTATTTTATTATTTTAATATCCTTTTAGAAATATTTCATTATATTTTTAATTCAAGAATAGAGCCCTGCTTCATATGGGGTGCAGTCTAGAAAAACAGGGCATATATGAATCAAGGGGGGGGAAATGGGGTCTGCAATCATGTAAAAGCAGTGCCAGTTTAGGTAAGAGTGTCAAACAAGGACTCAAGACATTGGGTTCGAATCCCCATTTCGCCACAGAAACTCCCGGGGGGAGGGGAAGGGAAGGCTAAATTACTCCAGCAGCTCGTGGTCCTTGAAAACTCTATTCGAGTCATGGCAACTCAGAAGCAACTTGACAGCCCACAGCGCCGTGACACGAATATGACGACAACTGTGTTTTATTTGCCCAATAAGAGTCCGGACTCTTCTCGCCGCGACAGCAAGGTTCAATTCATCTCTCCCTGCTTTCGAGTCTCCAGATGCAGATAAAGGTGTCTTGATCTGGCGTCCGAAGGGAGAGACACAGGGCCACTGCACCTGAAGCATCAGACCGACACAAGGTGACAACATTTGGGGTTTTATAGGCAACCAGCATTGGCTTGCAAAAAAACCCACCAGTTTTCCAGTTTTGCCACCCGTTAGGGCAAACAAATTTCTCCAAACATTGTAAACAGTTGCAATTTTGGGGGGGGGGGATTTCAAATTTTTACTATATCATGTAAGATTAAGACCAATTTCAGTAAAATCAGTTACCTCAAAAGAATGAACAAGAAGCCCTTTAGAAATTATTTCCAATTTTTTTCCAGGTTTACTTTTGATAAACTAATAAATATGCTGGGAATTGCTTCTGTGTTTCTCCACAGCGTTTACAAATGTTGCTTCAGCTCCCCTCCCTTCAGTTCCCTTCTCATGTATTCCACACTTTTAACACACATTTATTGCAAACATGTACATGCATGGCAATAACACTTAGTAGAAAAGCAATCTTGTTGTGATTCTATAGACAGATTCATCAAGGGTTCTATTTTGTGCAGTTTTTAAAAAAAAATGTTCAGGAACACACAGGAAGTCCCACATTAGCAAAAAAAAATGTGGGAAATACTACGGGTTTGGGGCAGGCTGATTCACATGGCACACATTGCACAATGGGAAATGCAAATCCACCTGGAGTGGCCTTCACACACAACATTTCCTCTCCACCTTGGATGCTTCTAACTTGTTAAAGATACAAATCGTTTCGCATTGATTCAGGCATGTGATTGCTTGAGGTAATGAAGAACTGGCAGGTGAGCTGCACAGGCACTTACAAAACACCTTCCCTCTCACATCAGGAGGACAAGCAACACACACACATGCACGCACACACACACATACGCGCACACACACACAAACAATACAAGAATACCGTCTCCCCAGCCAGTCCTGTTTTCCAACACTCTTCTTTATTTTTTTTAAAGTTTCTCCTTCTGCACAACATTTCTGTTTGTTTTAACTTTTTTTTAAAAAAAAAAACAGTTTAAGAAGCAAAGATGATCCTTAGGGTCCCGTCCAGCTCTGCAGTTCTAAGATTATTAGTATAAAATAATCACTTATCCGTGCAGCGTTAATGCCTTATCGCTTGTGAATGCAGGTTTTTAAAAAATGGCTCCACCTGCAGGATTGAAGGTAGAACTGCAAGCAAGCCATTCAAGTCAAGTCAAAGGGATCTGAATTCCCAGTGTGATTTTATAGTGAGTTGATGCTTACCCCCCCCCCGTGTAGTTGTACCCTTGAATCTATAAAACAGCACACAAAACATGCCTCGATCACACTAACATTGTTTAGCAAACTCCCTTTCCAGGGTAGAACCCTGTTGCCAACTTGTTGGCAACCCCCCCCCCTCCTGGCATCCTCTCTGGTGCTGCCCGACTTTGTCAAAGCAGCAGGCATGCCTCAGCTGTTTCCGCATCATATTTGGGCAATAAGATCATTGGATGCTAGACCAATTTTTTAATTTACTAGCCCAATAAGATCATTGGACATTAGGCCAATTTTTTAATTTACTAGCCCAATAAGATCATTGGATACTAGCCATTTTTTTTTACTTATTAGCCCAATAAGATCATTGGATACTCGGCCACAATTCCAACAGGAGAGAACCCTTGTGTAAGAACCATCAGGTAGTGGTATCTCAAGATGCTATAATTTATTGTTAGTGGCCGGCAGATTTCAGCCCAGCAATTCCTAAGGCCATCTTCCAGGGGATTAAAAAGCCATCTGCAGAAATACTGTCCGTCCCCTGTAAGGTGGTTTGGAGGCTCTCAACCGAAGTGACTTGTTTCTTAACTCCCATGAAAAAGGGCTGGGCAGAATTCAACTTTTTCTGACTTTCACACACCCATCTTGTATTAAGGATATTCACCATGTGTTCTCGAAGGCTTTCACGGCCGGGATCTGATAGTTGCTGTGGGTTTTTCTTGGGCTCTTGATATTCATCATGTTTTCTTGTCCTTGATGAGAAAGGACGTCTAAAAGTAATGAGATACACTGTGATGCCCCCCGCCCCTCTTTTTAAGCCAACTATGGTAAGATTTTTGATTCTTGGATGGGAGCAGCAAGTTCAACCTCTTTGTCAGCATGAGATTTGGCACGAAGCGCATTGTCTTTTAAATCAACCCCCCCCCCCATACTTTGTCTTTGAAAACTTTTACTAATCTCTACCGGGGGAGTGTAGACCTGGTAAAACCCCTTCTTAAAATATTTCACTTATCTCAAAAGCCCAATTAGAGTTGCTGTAAGTCGGTTCCTACTTGATGGCACAGAAATACGCACAAAATCCCAGCAAAATGCAAGGGCTCTGGCAACCAGGAGGGGACGCTTTCTATAGTGCTCACATCCTCTGTTCCTTTATCAGAGACACACTGCGTCCTGCATCTTTGTTCAGTCACCCCCACACGTAACTACCAATAAAGAACGTTTAGGCAATGACCCTTAAGGTAAATCCCATTGATTCAATGGACCATATTTGTGGGTTGTTTTAAAAACATGTAACAGGGTATTATGTGTGGGCTGCCCGTGTCATGCCCAGGCGCATGGCCAATCACACAATCAAGTGCGCGACCGGGAAAAGACTAGAGAGTCTGGGGAACGGCTACTCTCACTTACGTGACTACCCTCACATTGCCAAACGCATTGCCAAAACTGACCTCAACAAGAGGACACAGATATGCATAAGATTTGTACATGTTAATCTATGACATCAATTAAGAAATAACTTGACTACTGTAGTATAATTTAGGCATCACTGCATAGTGGGAAAGGCTGTAACTAGGTGACGTGACTTGTCTCCTACCTAAGGTGTTCCTGGGCATCTTCAAGGCTTCTGCTCTTCATGTTCAGGGTCTCTGTTTTCAGCCAGAAATGGGCTGAAGAGCCCGTCAAATAGAAAACACCTTCAAATCGAAAGTACATTATTTAGGGTATTTTTTTTGTTTACTTAAAACATGTAGTGCAACAATGCAGCACATCCCATTCATTTTAGTGGTACTATCTTAGTCGGATTTCGTGGAGCAATGCAGCTGTCCAGATGCTGGACCACAGCTCCCCCAGGCGTATCCCTCTGTCCCTATGGGTATAATAACGCTACAGATTTATTTTTAAAACTCCGGTCGCATACCTGCCTGGTTGACCCAGATCCTGGCAGGAACCAAGTTTCAGAGTGTGTGGTATTGACATGTTCACTGAATGTGACCCCCAAGCTGCAGGAAACATGAATCACAAGTCATGCTAAAGCGATTTATGCCATCTCTGGATTGGAAATCTGCCCATATAAATGCCACAAGAATGAACTATTCGACACATGGCGTCTTGATGCACTTCTGTTCCACTTCCTGCAAGTCTGTAACACATGATTCTGGATCTTCCCTCCATAATTAAGCTTCCTAGTTCTCAGGAGACCTGCTGAATGTCTTAGGGAGTGGCTTTGCTTCTCCCGATTTCCAAACGGAAAGTGATCTCTCCATGCAATCAGGGCTGGTGGAAGGATTAGTTAGATTTTTGTACGTGAGCTGGCTTCAAAGACAAGGGCGTCCTTATTTCGCATCCCTTCCCAGCGGGCATCAATCGAGGCTCAGCAGGAAAGTGTCTTGGTCTTCTCTGTTGGTCAGAGAAGCACAATGGGCCCAAGGGCAGGTGGATTCGCTGACTCTCCTTCTCATTCCTTCCCTTCACGCTTTCCCCTCGTTTTCTTGCTGATCCCCTCGTTTTCTTGCTGATGTTGCCTCTTGTGCTTTTGGGAGCAGGACATCCAAAGTCAACGAAGATGCCTGCTGACTTGACCATACCACCACCCCTCCCTGCCATTCTTACCCATTCTAACTATAAACCTGGCATAACAGTGAGACTTTCTAAAGAGCGATACACGGGCAACAGGCAACCCCTTTAAAAATGTGAGCCTTCCTCACAACATGCCAAAGAGGAAAGGTGAGAAGGTTTGTAAAAGCTCCACTTTCTCCACATCCCGTTTGAGGTCCTCCTTGCTTTCCGTTCGATATTGTGAAGCGCTCGGCCCTTTCGATCCACGAACGCTCTCACAGCCATGCCAGAGAAACCGTCTGGTGTACGTCTGGTCTCGCTTCAATCACGAAGAAAGGTCACTATTGCTGTTGAGAAGAAAAAAATAGAATCACATTACAGCTGGTCTTTTCTTGTTCCTTAAGTACAGCCAGGGTAGGTGTGTACAGTGATTTTATAAACAAACAACCAAAATTAAAATGTATCCTAGTAGAAGAAAATGTAATTTTGAAAATGGGAAATTTGCTTAAAAGAATGTTCATCTTGGAAGGGAGGGAGGGAGGGAGGGAAAGCAATACTGCAGTTTAAGAAACAGTTCAGAGTTCAAACTACCACTTTGAAAAAAGTTCTGCACTTCAGCAAAATGGACAGCGCGAACTGAACTACAAACCAGCCTAGTTTATGTTCTTTTCTGATTTGTAGCTCAGTTTGTGCCACTGCTGAGTTTTCCAAACTTGCTGGCATACTGGGTGTAGCACCTTAACAGCATCATCTTTTAATATTTTAGTAAATAGTCTGACTGGCCTTGTTGTTAGCTATGCTTTCTAAGGCCCACTTGACTTCACTCTCCAGGATGTCTGGCTCAAGGTCAGCAACCACACTATCTGGGTTGTCTGGGACATCAAGATCTTTCTGGTATAATTCCTCTGTGTATTCTTGCCACCTCTTCTTGATGTCTTCTGCTTCTGTGAGGCCCCTACCATTTTTGTCCTTTATCATGTCCATCTTTGCACAAAATGTTCCTTTAATATCTCCAATTTTCTTGAACAAATCTCTGGTTTTTCCCTATCTATTATTTTCCTCTCTATCTTTGCACTGTTCATTTAAGAAAACCTTCTTGTCTCTCCTTGCTATTCTTTGGAAGTCTACATTCAATTTTCTGTAACTTTCCCTATCTCCCTTGCATTTTGTTTCCCTTCTCATCTCTGCTATTTGTAAGGCCTCATTGGACAGCCACTTTGCTTTTGTGCATTTCCTTTCCTTTGGGATGGTTTTTGTTGCTGCTTTCTGTACAATTTTACAAGCCTCCATCCATAGTTCTTTGGGTACTCT